TATTTTATGGTTACAGAGTTGTATTTTTGACAGCATGGGAAGCAGAGCCATTTCTGATATGTTAGGCCAGTTAATGAAGCTGCCGGCTGCCAGATATCCTATTCTTTAAGCACTGGATTTAAAAATCAAAGGAATTTTTTGCTTTATCTACCAATCTGGTATGTATTTTCTTAATGCAAAACCTGGGACAACTCAGATAGAATAGCTTCATGTGGCTTCATCCCATTCAGATATCATATTCATGAAAGTGGTTTGTGGCTGTCAATGGAAGTTGTCAGCCTCACACTGTTTCTAGCCCAACCCAGATATAAGAGATATCTGAAAAGGCCAAGTCTGTATGAAATGTGGGCTGGTGCCGCTCCTTAATTGAAAGGTCACCTATGAGCTGCTGAAAGAATCCCAAGAACCCCGTGCTTCACTTTTTAGAAATAACAATTCTTTTGGACCTTATTGGGAAAATGTAATGACCAAAATTATTAGCAGATTAGAAACAAATAGGAAAGATCAAGCTAATGTTGTAAAAATATTTATAACAAGCCTTTAATCCTTTAAAGTGTGGGCATAATCCAAGGTCTAGCACGTTTAGAGGTAAGTAAACATGAAGCTGTGCCCTTGGGATTTGTGTGTCAGAGAGCCATGTACGCATCACACTTTCCTGTGCCATCTGATGTAGTCCTCCATCTATCTTTTGAGAATCATAGTTCCCATTGGAATCCAATTCTGCTGTCTGGCAATAATCCCAGAAACTGTTCTGTTCTTACTAGAACAGGCAATGGGCCGCATATGGCCCTGGGGCTTTAATGGATGGAAACGAAAAGCTGAAGTTTCAGTTATTTAGGAGTAGAAATACTTGTCTTGAGAGCACCCTGGCTACCTGCAAAATATATCAATCTCAATCAGTCTTGGGAACGTGTCCTTCCTTCCTTCCTTCCTTCCTTCCTTCCTTCAAAGATGTCCCCCTTCCTTCCTTTTTCGACTTTAACTGTGGCAAAAAATATAACATTGAACCCATTTGAAGGAATTTGCACTGGATATGTAGAGGGGGAGTAAACTTTCTTGATGCTGGCTCCTGAATTTACAAGCATAGCTTATGGGAAGCCATTATTGCACCTCTACTAGATTTCATTCCTAGATATCTGACAATTTTCTCCCATGCTCAAACCTTTCTCAGTCCTCTAATATGGTGGTTCCCAATTTTATGAGTATGAATACCACCTTTTAAGAAATGTGGACCCCCCACATTCTAATTGTTTGTGATTTTAGGCCTGGTTAATTGAGAAAATACATAATGACAAAAAACTTATAATAAAATGTGCCAAAATCAAAGAAAGCAGGAAAAAAGCATTTATTTCCCCATCATAAAGGTAAAAGGTAAAGGTACCCCTGCCCGTATGGGCCAGTCTTGCCAGACTCTAGGGTTGTGCGCCCATCTCACTCTATAGGCCGGGGCCAGCGCTGTCCGGAGACACTTCCGGGTCACGTGGCCAGCGTGACAAAGCTGCTCTGGCGAGCCAGAGCCGCACACGGAAACGCCGTTTACCTTCCCGCTAGTAAGCGGTCCCTATTTATCTACTTGCACCCGAGGGTGCTTTTCGAACTGCTAGGTTGGCAGGCGCTGGGACCGAGCAACGGGAGCGCACCCCGCTGCGGGGATTCCAAACCGCCGACCTTTCAATCGGCAAGTCCTAGGCACTGAGGCTTTAACCCACAGCGCCACCCGCGTCCCTATTTCCCCATCATACTCAGCAACAAACAATCCAAGGATTAATTCCAAAAGGTTTTAAATATAATTTTAATCATAAATATAAATCTGTTTGACCCCAATGTACCCACTGATTAACCCAATTTATTCAAAAGGTATGAAATGCCATTTTTATTTATAATTATAAATGTATTCATTTATTTATCCAGTATAATGGTCAGCAATCCCAAGTAATCAATCATACCAAACTAAATACTAATTTCCCCCCCAGTGAACTCAATTGAAACAATCCCCAAAAGGATGAAAAGGAGAACTTGCATTGCCACTAATATAATATGTTCCTTTGTGTCAAATCAGAGCTATCAATTGTATACTTCAATGAATCCCTGTCACTGTGAATAAAGCTACACGACACAGTTAATTTGATGCTATTTTATTTATACTTAACATTTTATTCATTTTTGGTTTTTTATAAGCCAGTTGGCATGAGCAGCAAATGCAACTCAGAACAGCAGACAGCCCAAAAGCCTTCAAACAAGCCAGCCCCCACCCCAGGAATTAGGCAACTCCTATCCCTGGAATGGGGAGGCGGGTAGTGCTGTGGTCTAAACCACTGAGCCTAGGGCTTGCTGATCGGAAGGTTGGCAGTTCGAATCCCTGCGACGGGGTGAGCTCCCGTTGCTCGGTCCCAGCTCCTGCCCACCTAGCAGTTCATAAGCACGTCAAAGTGCAAGTAGATAAATAGGTAACAGCTCCGGCGGGAAGGTAAACAGCGTTTCTGTGCGCTGCTCTGGTTCGCCAGAAGCGGCTTAGTCATGCTGGCCACATGACCCAGAAGCTGTCTGCGGACAAACGCCGGCTCCCTCGGACTATAGAGCGAGATGAGCGCTGCAACCCCAGAGTCGTCCGCGACTGGACCTAACAGTCAGGGGTACCTTTACCTATCCCTGGAATGTATCCCAATAAAGCAACAAAAGGAACCCCCAATATCGCCAAAACTAATGAACGTGAATATAGTCAGTAGTTAAGAGGCAAGCCCCCCACTTATGGTCCATACCATAACCACTAAAATCAAATTGAAGACTTTTATTCTGTCTCCTACCAGAAAGCCTTGTGTATAGGGCAATGTAAAGGCGCAGGTGGCTAGGACTTGCCGATCAGAAGGTTGGCGGTTCGAATCCCCGCGACGCGGTGAGCTGCCGTTGCTCGGTCCCAGCTCCTGCCAACCTAGCAGTTCGAAAGCATGTCAAAGTGCAAGTAGATAAATAGGTACCGCTCCGGCGGGAAGGTAAACGGTGTTTCTGTGCACTGCTCTGGTTCGCCAGAAGCGGCTTAGTCATGCTGGCCACATGACCCAGAAGCTGTACGCCGGCTCCCTCAGCCAATAAAGCGAGATGAGCACTGCATCCCCAGAGTCGGTCACGACTGGACCTAATGGTCAGGGGTCCCTTTACCTAAAGGCCAGAAACCCCTAGTGCCACACGCTTCTTCAGGCAAAGCAGCAAGGAGGGGAAGCAGTGCTAGGGACCACTGCATTCCTGTGCCTTGCCCCCACCTCATACCAAGCACCAACCAAGGAAAGCGAGGAAGGCACAGGCCATACCCACAACAATAACCAGTCCTTTTCAGCAACCGCAAGCCCCCCAGTGATCATGCAGGGCTCTTAGAGATGCTGCTATGAAGAGGCAGAGGGAATCAGTCAAGTGCTAGCTGGAGGATCATTACTTGCGGACCCCTTGGGATAACTCCATGGGCCCTCAGGGGTTCATGACCCACAAGTTAGGAACTACTTCTCTAACGTCTCTGTCAAACTAAATCCAGAAAATGGGGAGCGGGGGGCAAGAGAGAGCTAATGCATATACAGTGGTACCTCGCAAGACGAATGCCTCGCAAGACGAAAAACTCGCAAGACGAAAGAGTTTTCGTTTTTTGAGTTGCTTCGCAAGGCGAATTTCCCTATGGGCTTGCTTCACAAGACGAAAGGATACAATGTGACGATTTTCAATGCATTCCTATGGGAAACCGTGCTTCGCAAGACGAAAAATTCGCAAGACGAAAAAACTCGCAGAACAAATTAATTTCGTCTTGCGAGGCACCACTGTATACAGACTTCCCCATCTTTCTGATCTTTAGCAAATCACCTCTTTCTCCATTGTATCACAAGTGGTTTTTGGTTTTTTTTTAAATCGGGGTTTAAGAAGCCTTTTGTGATTTGTGCTGGCAGCTGATGATTGGTACAGTAAGGACAGAGCCCTGTTTTGCGGACTGATAGCTGTTCCTCTGGAACAGGGTCCCGATCGCTGCATACCAACCTGGGACCACATCCATTTGATGTTCTGCAAAGCACCCACTATATCTGTTTTATGATTCCAAACACATGAAAAGTAGTTGTAGTGTGCTTATTTTGGGACATACGCTTCAGAAGCATTGGCAGGTTATAAGAGCTGATACTGTATCTCTATATCGTTGTTGGTAAATGAAAACTTTACTATTGACAATCTGGTATGTTGCACCTCTCTTTTGGTCAGAGACTGAGCTACAAATTGGAAAGTCCCCAGTATGAACCTCTCCTCTTGCATACACTTGCTTGCTTAGCTTTTAGAGAAACCATTATTTCTCATACTCTGCTCATACTCTCACACTATATACTCTGTATACTATGGCATGCTTTGATTATTTGGAAGTATTGCAGCAAGTATTGTGTAGAGCTTTGAAAAGGCCTCTACAAATACTAAGTGGCTCTTAGTGTTAAACTTGCTGGAGATCAAAATTCTGTGTGACATCACCGGGTTCTATATGTCATTTTCTCACTCGAAGAAGTGCCAAAAAAACCTCTAGACATAATTGTCATCATCATCTTATTTTGTTCAAACATTTGTCATGATATAGTTAAAGTACAGCTCATTGTTTTAGTCAAGATGGGCATAACTAACGCTTGTAGTTATAGTTCAGAATTTAAAATTTGTAGAGCATCTGCCTACATTTCTTTCCTCCTCTAGCCAGAACATGTTTTCTACCAAACCACTGCAATGTTGATATGTTGATTTAAGTTTTCATGCTGATAATATGGAAGACCTGCAATACAGGATCCTAAAAAGCAAGCCTTTGTGGAAATGAAGTTTGAATAATTTTTTTAGTTCAATAGCTATGTGAAATTAGTAAGCAAGATAGAAACAGCGTAATTGCATTTTACTCATCACTTACATCGCAAAGTATATAATCTTTACAACAAACAACAAAACTGGGTTCCTTTATAGAAATCATATTTTCGAAGTACAAGATAAAATCTCCTGTCTAGCTTTTTGAAATGGAGTGGGCATGTTTATATATCTTCTGTAATTATTCAGTATGACTTGCATTTAAACCAGCAAGTAAAAACCGAAACTTAATTGGTATCTGAAAACCAGGATGTATTTAGTTAGAAAACTGTGTATGTTGAAAAGAAAACACTTTTATCATTCTTGAGTGAAATAAGATGTACTGCATATTAGCCACAAAAGCACATACTAATATTTTAGCTAGATTCTGTGGTAAAGAGACAGGAGAGAGGAGACAGAGATGTAAATTGCTTCAGCATTCAGTCTGATTTTTTAAATCCTGTTTAGTAAGTATCTCTTTTATTAATAAATTTAGGCACAAAGAACTCATAGATGGATGTTACAGTTTACATACCATTAGCTCACATTTATTCATTAGCAGCAGTGCTCTGTGGTGTACAGAGTTGAATAAATCATTTTGCGATGTCTTGAAGTTTAATTAGATTTACAGGCTGCATGCTTGTGGCCTTTTGTCTATTGAGAGAAGAAGTAATTACTTGATAAAATGAAGTGCATCACTGTGAACAATTGACCCTTTGGAACAGTCCAGGCTGGTCAGCAACCTAAATCCACATTTCAGTGCCATCATTATAGCTTCAAACTTAAGAGTTTCCAAGGTGCACACGAAAGTATTGTCTTCCTTCAAAACAAGCCGAGTCCCATTTTCTGACTTTATGAAGTATTTGAACTGGATAATGTTGGAAGAGATTGAAAACTCTTCTGGGAAGCCATCCAGCCTGCTTTTGGACACCAAAACAATGCGGGATTTTATTTTTGTTATGAAATCAGGAGCATTGCAAAAAATCCGAAGGCCCTGCGAACGGTCGTGGCTGTCTGTTATCTCCAGAAAGGTAGTCTCCCTGGCTGCAAGCTGCTCCTTCTCCCACCTTAATTTCACTGCATCAGCTAACACTTTAAGCTGGAAAAAATCTGCCTCTCGTGCCAGAAGATGGTTTTCTTTAAATCCCTCTGGTAGAAGCAATTCTCCATTCCGTAGGAAGTTCAGAACGTGCCTAAAGAGCAGCCCATCCCTGTCTATAAAATAATGGCCATCTGCATCAGACGGACAGAGAACCTTTCCACTGACAACTCTTTCCAAAAAAGAGTCTGGGTACTTGGTTAGTGTTTGCTTTTGCGTAACGTACAGATATCCACCAACGTTGAGAGTAATTGGAGACATTTTACAATTCTTGCCTTGATCGGTGCCTTCCGAGTCGTTGCATTTTTTGCTGCTCTCCATTTCACGCCTGTTTTGTGCTCCGTTCTTTAAGACGGCTTTCTGGCTTTGTCCTCCTCTTGCTTTGTATGGAGATTTCGTCAAAAAGGCACCTTTATTCAGCTCTAGAACAATGATAGAATGGGAGTGCTGGAAGCATTGCATGAGCTTGTCGGCAACAGCCTTGCAGTAGGTGGCGTAGAAGCTATATGTATGCAGTGTGATACTGGGAGTATGACTGGAAGATGCAATTTGCATTTAACCGTATAAGGGCAAGAGGATGGCAGGGGAGAAAGGCGTCTTAGTTATTTTTCCTCTTGAAGACTCTGAAGTTTAAATGATTAAGAAGTGTCTTTTGTTGATGCAGAAAGAAATTAGCTGTTTGCCTGCATCTTGGTATTAAGTTGAAATATAGTATATTGAAAATTATGAAATGGTGGAGGAATCCTAGCTATTTGTTGTAAAATACTTTTCAAAAAGGGTTACCAAACAGTAACCTCAAAAACCTTTAATATTTATGTTTTTCAACCATTTTTTAAGCTTTTCGTCGTCCTGTTGCATTTTGCTCGTGCACCTTGCTCTGAAACGCAACTGTTGATAATATTGTCATAAAATTAAACATAGTGTTAAAAAAACAGTGTTTTATATAAAATGGATTTCTAGGGCAAACCTGCTTTTTAACCATATAAAGCAATCTGGGATTCCCCCCCCCCTTTTCAATAGAAAATAATTTTATTGGCAAAAATATTGCTAGTAGAGATGACTTAATTGGTTTGAATTTATATGGCTATATTTGACAGATCAGTTCAGTTTCTGGTTAAAATGACACTGCTGTTGCAATGTGAAAGCAAGCTGGTAGGTTTGTCACAAATCTTTGTATATACCACACAATATTACAGCTTAGCAACACTTCAGCGATGAGAAAATGACCACAACATGGCATTGGAAAAGCAGCACTGTTTCTTCTTGTAGCAGCCATAGCTTTCAGGCTCAGATCTTAAACAACCGATTCTCCCTTTGCAAATATTTTCAACAAGGTATATGACAAGGAAAGCTGTGCAAGTCTGGATGTCTACTTCGTGTAAGAAAGGTTAGGTCTGCAGCTTTGTATTCCACAGCAAGAGGAGGGGGGGGAATTAACTCTTTCAACATCATCTACTTGCTATTTGCTATTTGCTGTGGCATAGCTACAGCATTAAGGAATATTTCTATAACCAAGAATCAAGTAGTATATTAACTTTAATTCTTTTTAATGTTTAGGCTGCCCCATCCATGCCAAAATGTATTCACGTTTGAGATTCCTGCATTGAAAGGGGTTGGACTGGATGACCCTCTGGGTCCCTTCCAATTCTGCAGTTCTATGACTCATATAATTCAGGTGTTATCCATGCAGTTTCCGCTAGTGCCGAATCCACTGTCATACAACAAGCAATGCTAATCTTTTTACGGGTTTTAGAGGTGCATTTACTCTCGCCATGTACATCCCGAAAAAGAAGTTAGCTTTTCCTCCTGCGTACAAGCGAGGGCAACGGGATTAGGAGTTGCAAGGATGGACAGAGAGCTAGCCAGGATGTCTTAAGAATACCTCCATTTTCTCCTCATAGCCTAGTTTCTGAATCTAGGTATTATCTCCACATTTTCAGACAGTTCTCCATAACCATGAGGCTTAGTCATAGGCTTGTTATTTATTATGTTTGCATGAGTCTAAAATAGGAACAGATAGGAACCAACAGCTTAATAGACTGTACTTCAAAGATTACATCTAAGTGTGCAAATGGTTTGTCCATATTTTATATTTATATATCTAGTGGATGGTGCTGATACAGTGTTGGGGTTACCTGTACATTGCGTTATTCTTTCCCGAGGATGAAATTGCTACTAAATCCCCCTGTGCTGACTGAAAAAAATTGTATGCTGGTGTTGTGAACCTACAAAAGCATAACTATAACCTGGTTGTAGGGTATCATTGGCAATACCCATATACTAGAGGAACACACCTGTGGGGGGGGGGGAAGGATGCAGTCTTATGAAGATGTTTGACGACAATTTCCTCATATACAGTGGTACCTTGGGTTACAGACGCTTCAGGTTACAGACTCCGCTAACCCAGGAATAGTATCTTGGGTTAAGAACTGTGCTTCAGGATGAGAACGGAAATCGTGCAGCAGTGGCGCGGCAGCAGCGGGAGGCCCCATTAACTAAAGTGGTGTTTCAGGTTAAGAACAGCTTCAGGTTAAGAACGGACCTCCAGAACAAATTAAGTTCTTAACCTGAGGTACCACTGTACTGGAATAGGACAAGAGCACGTGGTGTCAATAGCCTGATGGTTTGTTTTGTTAGAATTGTTGATTGGACTGATTCTACTACAGAAGTAAAACCGTTTTGAAAAAATCTTGGGCATATCGAGTGCTTTATCACACTCAAAGCATAAATAAAAATACAACTTATTAAAATGGCTACCGTTCATACTCATAGGACTTTTGCTGGTAATCTGGGTTTCCTTCTATTTCAGAAAAACTGTCTCTGGAAGGAATAGTAGTCCAGCGTGCAGAGTGCAGACCTGCAGCCAATGAAAATTACATGAAGTTGAAAAGGTGAGCCTTTCTGTTTTTTTTTTTTAATTAAACCTGTTGTATGGTAGCTTGGTATAACTTAAATATGCGTTGTCTTTCACATGGCTGCAGTGATGCCTATACATGGATGGTTGTTAAATTGGGTGTATCATAATTTTCAGTCGATCCCTTGGAGAAAGGTGATATTTGGAACACATTGGGATGATCATGTTTCATTCCTTATTTATTCAGGTATTCTATTATTAAAATAGAATCCTGCATCGGTGACTGGCAGCACAACTTTCCCCCTTTTTACTTTCTTTTTGCTTTGGATTCTTAGATTCATCAGCCCCAGCAAACATGGTCAGTGGCCTGGGGTGGTGGGATATCTCGTCCTGCAACATCTTGAGAACTATAGGTTCCCCACCAATTCCTTACACTATTCATTTTAAGGGACACCATGGCAACAAATTTATGCTATGCAAGTTGCATTCTGTGGCAGTACAGTGGTGCCTCGCAAGACGAAAAGAATCCGTTCCGCGATTCTCTTCGTCTAGCGGTTTTTTTCGTCTTGCGGAGCAACCCCATTAGCGGCTAAGCGGATTAGCGCTATTAGCGATTTAGCGCTATTAGCGGGCTAGCGGCTAAGCTGTTAAAAGGCTATTAACGGCTTTAGCGGCTTTGAAAAAGGGGGAGAAAAGCGGGGGGGAAATGGCGAGACTCGCAAGACGTTTTCGTCTTGCGAAGCAAGCCCATAGGGAAATTTGTCTTGCGAAGCGCCTCCGAAACGGAAAACCCTTTCGTCTAGCAGGTTTTTCGTCTTGCGAGGCATTCGTCTTGCAGGGCACCACTGTACATTGGCCACAAGCATCTCATCACATTTTCTTTTAATGCTGAAAACCTCAAAGAAGACAATAAAGTTCAAACCTATTTTTCCCCTATTTTCATTTCATGCAGGGGGATGCATGTGTTTTTGTGACCAATGTAACACAGCAATGCAACGCATTGTGAGCAATGTAACACACTTAATCAATGTATGTTTTATTGTCGTAAGACCATCTGGTTTTGTTTCTAAGGTAAAACTTATTTTCAGTTCAGCAAATGAGAGAGTAGAGCTGTTCAACAAAGGCCCCGTATAACTGTGGAAAAGTCAAGTGTCTCAAGGTAGTGAGGCCTTGAATAGTTGTCCTTGATTTGAGGATAAAAAGGTAAAGGTACCCCTGCCCGTACGGGCCAGTCTTGACAGACTCTAGGGTTGTGCGCTCATCTCACTCTATAGGCCGGGAGCCAGTGCTGTCCGCAGACACTTCCGGGTCACGTGGCCAGCGTGACATCGCTGCTCTGGCGAGCCAGAGCCGCACACGGAAACGCCATTTACCTTCCCGCTAGTAAGCGGTCCCTATTTATCTACTTGCACCCGGGAGTGCTTTCGAACTGCTAGGTTGGCAGGCGCTGGGACCGAACGACGGGAGCGCACCCCGCCGCGGGGATTCGAACCGCCGACCTTTCGATCGGCAAGCCCTAGGCGCTGAGGCTTTTACCCACAGCGCCACCCGCGTCCGGATTTGAGGATACCAGATAGAATAATAGGTGCTGGTTGGTGTCATGGTAGAAGATCCAATTTCTAAGTTCTCCATTTGTAGATTATAAGCTCTAAGCTTGTCTTGACATTTTGTGCCCAACGTCCTGTCCTTAATTGCTCTAACCAGCAGAGCTTGGTGAGAGTATGGTCCTCAAAGGCATTTAGTCTACCCCAGTATCTAAGACAGGCTAGATCAAATCTGGCTGCTATCAAGGGAAGACCCAACAGCTCTAAGATGAGCCGATGGAGTCCCTGAAGGAAGCCCTAGTATCTGCCTCATAAATCTATTTTGTAGAACTTTTTGTTCAGATTTGACACCAGTTTCCCAAATTTCAGCCCCGTAAAGCATTTGTGGACATAGATCTTGAGGGCAGAATTGATTAGCTGCCCCCTTTCAAATGGAAAAAACCTGTATAACTAAGTGGCCAGTAGAACAGGCAGGTGATAACTTAATTGCATTCATTTGGCATTCACATGAAAGCTTTTCATCAATAAGCAATCCTAGATATTTAAACATATGTACTTGCTCAAGTATATGACCATCGAATGACCACTTGGACTTAGTAACCCTCTTACTCAATGTGACAGCTTTGGGTTTTAGCATAATTTCCTTTTAGACGTTCTTTTTTACACAGTTGATCAAATTTAACTAGCATCCTTCCAATTTTGTTCAAAGAAAGCAGAACTAGGGGATCAGCATGTAACAGAATGGACGCTTTACAATTCCCAAAGCAGAAACAGTTTCCAATGCAGTAGTTGCATTAGTGCAAGAGCCAGTGTGGTGTAGTGGTTAAGAGCGGTAGTCTCGTAATCTGGGGAACTGGGTTCGCGTCTCTGCTCCTCCACATGCAGCTGCTGGGTGACCTTGGGCCAGTCACGCTTCTTTGAAGTCTCTCAGCCTCACTCACCTCACAGAGTGTTTGTTGTGGGGGAGGAAGGGAAAGGAGAATGTTAGGCGCTTTGAGACTCCTGAAGGGGAGTGAAAGGCGGGATATCAAATCCAAACTACTCCTCCTCTTCCTCCTCCTCCTCCTCCTCCTCCTCTTCTTCTTCTTCTTCTTCTTCTTCTGTTTGCACAGTAGATCTTCCCCTCCTAATTGCCCCATGTCCTCTCCAAATCTGCTCTGGAGGGTTGGGGGAATACAATGGTACCTCGGTTTACGGACTTAATTCGTTCCGGAAGTCCATTCTTAAAGCAAAGCATTCTTAAACCGAGGCGCACTTTCCCTACTGAGGCCTCCCGTCGCCAGTGCCCTTCCACCATTCATCTTCCGTTCGTCTTCCGGGGCAAATTTCGCTAACCAGAGCACCTATTTCTGGTTTTGCAGAGTTCGTTCACCGAATATTTCGTAGACTGAGGTGCCACTGTACTTTGAACAGATTTAGGGGATACACAGGGAGAGAAGAGGGAGGGGCAGTTCCATTGTTCAGCCAGAAATTATTGTGGTTGTGGAGCTACTTCACTGGAGACTACCAAAAGTACTTCCTGCAAATCCTACTATACAGTAAGTGCAGGAGGAGGTTAAAAGAATCCCTGCCTCCGACAAAATGGCTAAAGAAAAATGTGAAAACAAGAGGCTTAGGTATGTCTCTTGCTGTGCAGAAGCTGAAGTCCAGGCATTCATAAAGAATTCACTTTATAGGCAGCATACAATGGTAAACATGTCTACTCTGAAGTAAATCTCTTTGTGGTTACCTACTCCTAGGTAAGTGGTTACAGGATTGCAAAATCAAATAATTTTAAGACAATTAAGTTTGTAAGATTTGTTGTTGCTTTTTAGACGTAACAAGGTTGAGATCTGTAGCTGATTCATCCACAAATAGGCCTTGATTTTTCAATTTCAGCAACTGTAGAGGACCAAAAAAGCAACCCTCCTGATGTTTGTCATGTGGTTCTTCTTTAAAATGAAAACTGGCTTTGGCTACTGTTTTTATTTGTGTTGCAGGGTCTTTGCAAATGTATTCCTCGGTGCTATAAAAGCTCTCCATGGTGTTCACAGAGGCCTAGCACTTATGACACATTATTTTGTTTGGAGAAGAGGTAAACATCACCTGAGCTGAGAAATTGCATCTTTGCCAAGCAGACAGAGAGAGAGAGCAAAAGAAAACTTGCTCCAACTTTTAATTTTAGCACATATGCTACAGATATACGTAGAATAATAGTGAGAAACTTTCTGAGATTGGAGGAGAGCTTTCTGTTGAAAAGTTGCATTTTAAAAAATCTGAAAATGAGAGACCTTTCACTTTCATGGCTCAATAGTGAGAGCCTGATGGCAGAAGAATCAAAGTTATTATTTTCTTAGTGATCATATCCTTGGAACCAAAGTTTTCTCAGAATACCGTATTTTTTGCACCATAACACTCACTTTTTTCCGCCTAGAAAGTAAGGGGAAATGTCTGTGCGTGTTATGGAGGAAATGCCTACAGGTGGCATGCCTACGGATTTTCCTCCTCCAAAAACTACCTGCGTGTTATGGTCGGGTGCGTGTTATAGAGCGAAAAATACGGTAATTATTCTCTTAACCTGAGCATTTATCTTTTATTTGGCCAAAAAAATTACTGGAAGAATAATTCACTGGGTTGTTTTTTTTAATTCTTGTACAGGCTTTCACAATATGAACTGTAAGATTAGCTAGGGGTTGAATTGTAGCACTTAAGTATTTATATTTCATCCATTTCACCATACAGTATTAATCTGTCATGTGCAATCTGTAGTGCACAATCTTATTTCATTGCAGGGGGTTGGACTGGATAACCCTTATGATCCCTTCCAACTCTATAATTCTATGATTTGTTATATTCTATTTTCATCATTTCCATTAGTTGAGGTGTGGCTCCTTCACTTGAGTATTATAACCCTATTTATAGGAACAATCAAAGCTTTATAGGGTGCCAGTTTTGCAATAGTTCATTCTAAGATGTGAATCCCATTTTGACAGAAGGGGCACAGAGCAGGGTTGCCCCTTGTCCAATTGCTCTTTGCCCTCTCTCTGAACCCCCTGGTGACAGTAATACGTAATAATTGAAATATGTGTGGTTTTCTGGGGGGCAGGTGGAAGAAGAGCCTCTGAGCAGATGGTATAACCTTACCAGCATTGTCAAAGGAACTTTGTAAATATGAAAGGGTGGCAGGCCTTAGAACTAATCTGGATAATCTTTAATAATGTATTTCGGTGTACCCAAAATGATCAACTGTACCTAAAATAATTGGTAAATGTTCCACCAAGTGAAAAGGTTTACTAAAACCTAGGAATCTGTATACCCCGAAACATGAATAAATTTTATGCTTTAAATTATGTTCCCTTAGTGAAAAAATTTAAAAAAGAACATAGGCAGACAGAGTAAACTACAATGATAGGTGTTAGGAAGAACTGTAATGGCACAAATGGTGATACTTCCAAAAAATATATTATTTTGAGTTCTCCCCATCCATCTTCAAACAAGTATTTTGAAAAAATGG